GTCAGCGGGGCCTCCTGGCCAGGTACTTGGAGGCCATCACTCAGAGCGTGTTGAAGGAGTTGCGAAACAGGAGGACTGGCTCGGCCACGTCACCACCAAAGACCCTGCCGCAACTGGAGGCCCTGCAGGGACTGCATCCCTACATGGAGGGCGCCCAACTCCGAGAGGTCACCCTGGCCCTGCTGAGCCTGCCTGAGGCCCAGCTGGTGGCCCAGTGGCCCACGAAGTCTCCCGGGAAGGAGAGACACCTGAACGCTCTTGGCAAGACCCTGGTCCAGCTGTTGACCAGCAGCCCCCAGGACCAGCTGCAGAGCAGTGAGCTCCTTTGGGCCTCCGAGTTTGTGAAAGGCCTGGGGGCTTTGCTCCCCACATTGGCCGTGGACGAGCTGGATGCCGTATTCCTCCACACTCTGCAGAGAGAGCCAGCGCTGGCCCCTGTGGTCGGGGTGGACCTGCTCGACTACTGCCTGGCCCGGCGGACGCAGGTGGCCCTCGGCATCGCCGCCCTGCTCCTGCGGCTGAGCTGCACCCACCTCCTGTGGTTCGAGCTGTGGTGTGGGCAGCCCGGCACAGGGCTCTGCCTCCAGGAGCACCTGGATGACTTGCTCCCTCTCCTCCACACGTACCTCCAGACCAGGACACGGGGCCCCTGCGCATGCCCGGCGGGAGGTACAGCAGCTGGTGGCTTCAGGCAGCTGGGGGTGTTAAGTCAGAGGGCTGAGGAGGTCTAACCGGGAACTCCCACAGTTGGGGTATGGGCTAAGTTCTGGCTGTCCTCCAGCCACTGACCGAGCTCTGGAGATCGAGAAAGAGGAGAGATTCGCACTCCCAGCCCTCCCCTGTCTCGGGGCTTGGCCGTGGGTTGAGGTGCTGCCCCACGTTCCCGTCCACCCCCGCCGCCCCCCCCCCCGCAGGAAGCTGGGGAGGGCTGGGTCGAGGAAGGGTCAGCACCGGGGCAAGGGAGGCATTCGGGGTGACCGCCCTTTGTCCCAGCCCATTGTCCCCAGCAGAAGAAGTGTCAGTGAGTGACGCTGAGTCAAGGCAGCTTGGGCCCAGCCCTCTCCACCTGTAGGGTTTCAGGTCCAGGGCACTTTTTGCTCACCTGAAATATGCTTTAATTTCTTTTTATCGTGTGTATGAATGATTGTTCACTTCCTGCTTTCCCTCAGTGTGTCATGACTTTGTACCAGTGATAGGGAGCCTCCTTCTAGTCAGTGATTTTTTTTTTTTAAGATTTATTTATTTATTTTAGAGAACGCGTGGGAGGGGCAGAGAGAGAGGGAGAGAATCTCAAGCAGACTCCATGCTGAGTAGGGAGCCTGACATAGGGCTCGATCTCACAACCCATGAGATCAAGACCTGAGCTGAAACCAACAGTTGGACACTTAACTGACTGAGCCACCCAGGCGCCCCCTCTAGTCAGTGATTCTTGGTGTACCTCCCCAACTCCCGTGCCTTCGAGGCAGGAACCCCGAGCGAGTCCAGAACTTGGGTCCTCACAGTCCTACGACCAGCTTCGAGCTAGGCTTACACTCAGGGCCCGGTGTCGGAGGGTTGACCGACGAGAGGTAACCAGTGGCATGCTGGTCAGCCTTTAACAAACTGGCCCTTGCATTTGCCAATCTCCGTGGCATCTGTGCTCCTGCCCTGGCCGACCTCAAGCTACGAGTGTGACCTCGCCCAGTCACAAAATTCCTAAAAGTTAGCCGTGGGCTCTGTGAGCTGGTGTGTGCGGGCCCCAGCATGCTGCGGTGTGTGACCATTTCTCCTTTTTGTCTCTGCCTAGTGTCCTCTGCTGTCATTCCCGTCTTGAAGAAGGCCCTGTGGAAACGGCTGCAGGCCAGGCTTCTCAGCACGGACGGGCCCCCAGCGTCCGGGCTGCATCAGGAGGTCCTGGCCCAGCTGGTCCCGTTTGCAAGACCCAAGGAGCTTGCGGTCCTCATGGACCATTTGCCCGGCTTGCTTCGGACTCCGGGCACGCGCGAGAGGTGGTGAAGGCTTACGTTCCCCTCCCCACTTCACTTTTCCTTGTAGTTTTTAGAAACTAGTGGGAAGTTGCCGCACTGCTTTCATGCCAGTCGTGAGAAGGCACCTCCTACAGGAAGTCTGCTTCTAGCCATCCTGCCTGGAGCGAGCACGTCTCCATGAGTGGATGGCTGGGTCTGATGCCCTGAGAGCAGCGGTTCTCAACCGGGGGTGATTTTGCCCCCTCCAGGGGACAGTTGGCCACATCTGACATTTTTTTATTGTCACAACGCAGTGGAGGGGGGTTGTCACTTCTGGCTTCTAGAGGGTAGAGGCCAGGGGTGCTGCTAAATATCTTACTATGCATAGCACTGCCCCCCCCGCCAAGAAAGAATAATCTGGCCCAACATGTCAGTAGTACTGACACTGAGATAGCCTGATTTAGGCAAAGTCTGGACAATGTATCTTTTTTTTCTGGTGCAGTAGTATTGTTTCTGGTAATTGTAAAACTGCTGGTGTATCTGTGACGCTGGACCAAGGAGTCCAGGGCAGCCGTGGACTCTGGTGCTTAGGTGCTGTGGGGGAATGGGACTCAGAGCATCTGTCCCAGGTGGCCCATTGTAATGGGAGTTACGCTTAAGCTGGAGGGGTTTAGGCCATCCCCCTGACTCTGTGCCTTCTGTCTCCTGTGCAGTTGGAGCGTGGCCGACTCTGTGTCTGCAGTGTTGGAAGGGTCGGCCGGAGAGCTGCATGCCTGGAGGAGGACTCTGTTGGAGTCCTGTGTGAAATGGCTGATCGTGTCTTTCCGTGGTGGCCAGCAAGACGACCGTGACGATACCCGGGATCAGGAGAGGCAGATGCTGCTGAGATTTAGTGAGCTGCTGGTAGGTGTCTTTCCTTTCCTTAGAGAGCCTGATTACACTCTGAAATCAGAGTGGAATAGACAGACCAGAGTTCACAGATGTGCGCACAGAAGTAGTGGGAGATGAGCAGGGCCGAGTCTGCCCCGAGACGATGCGCCGCCGCCGCCTTCCAAGAATGGATGTGGGATTTTGTCAAGAGCATTTTTGCTTCTCCTGAAATGGTTTATGGTTTTGGCTTTTTTGTTTAGTCTGTTAATAAGATGACTTACATTAATTGATTTTTGATGGTTTAACTTTACGTTCCTGGGATACACCTGCTTGATTACAATGTATTACAGTTTTTCCGTATCGTTGGATTTGATGTGCTAGTATTTTATTAAGAATTTTTCCATCTGTGTGCATGTGGGATATCTGTTTATAATTTCATTTTCTAGCAGTCTGTTGTTTTTTGGTTTTAGGATCAGGTAACATAGCCCTCAGAATGAGTTGGGAAGTTTCATTCCAGGCTTTTCTTTCCTGTGAGCATTGTCAAACGTCATTGCTTTCCTGTCTTCTGGCATACATTGTTCTCGATAAGAAGTTTGTCATTCTTACCTTTGTTCCCCTGCCTTAGGATCTTTTTTTCTTTACGTTGTTTGAAGCAACGTGATCATGATGTGCCTTAGAGTAGTTTTATTTAAGATTCTTATGCTTGGGGTTCACGGAGCTTCTTGCCACTGTGAGCCTAGAGCTGTCATAAAATTTGGAAATACTCACCTATTTTTGGTCATTATAAAATTATTTTTGCTCGGGAATAACATCCTGAAGGATAGGAGTTATTCCTCAGTCCGTGATGTAAAATTGCGTTAAAACTCATAGGGTCTGTGACTTGTGTTTAAACTCTGGACCCAAAATTTAAAAAATACTCCTCAGGAAAATAACCCTAGGTGACAGTTGTGTGATAAATGGATTCGTAGGTTATAGATGAAGCAGTGTGCTTATGTTGTATCAGGAGACTTTTTAACCTGTATCTCAGCCTTAAATCATTGTGTTACAGGTTTGTGCATTCAGAGTACCTAGGAGCCCAAACATGGCAGAACTAGGGGGCACGAGGAACATCCCCGAGACCTAGGGAGAGCTGAGCGTAGAGGAGGGTGCTGGGCTCACCCGCCACTGGTGACAGTGGCCCTTCCTGTGTGACCCTGTCGTCAGCCCCTCATCCAGCAGGCCAGCTCGATGACTGAGGGCAGGCTGTGCTCTTCTCAGGGATTTGCCTTCCCCCTCCCCTGCCTCCCATTCTCTCTCTTCTTTTTCCCTCTTTCATAGATGCACTGTTTCTAGGTTTGGGGTTCACAGCAGAGCTGAGCAGACAGTACAGAGTTCCCCTGTGCCCCCTGCCCCCGCGCACACGCAGCCGCCCACTCTGAGCCCACCTCACCAACCCTTTGAACTGAGGAGTAATTTTCATGTTGTGAAATACAGGCTCTTGGTGTGTGTGTGTGTGTGTGTGTGTGTGTGTGTGTGTGCGCGCGCGCGCGTGTGTGCGTGTGTGTAAATATGGGCTCTTAAGTGCGGAGTTTAGTGTTGACAAATGCACTTATATCCTTGTGCCCACACTCCCATCAGAGATTTTTATCATCCCAGGAAGTTCCCTTTCCTCCAGAGCACCCACCCCTCTGATTTAACTTAGCGCTGTATTTGGAGATTTTCTCTACATCAGTGATTGTGGACCAGCATCGGCCCTGCTGGTGGTGCAAAGGTCTTCCGCTGGGGAGAGGTGCTGTCCTGTGTTGAAGGCCTGAGTGGCTGGCCCTGTGCGTGATGCAGGCCAAGAGCACCTCTGAAGTGGTGGACAGAGGGATAGGTAACAGGACTAATAGGGAGTGTTTTTCTGCTCATTTGGTGATCATAGACATGCTAATAAAATGACAGCTACTAGCAGGAATAATAAAACAATTTAAAAAATAAAAGAAAGAAACAACTGCGTGCTTCTGTGGACTCCTTAGGTCACTCACTGTATTCCGTGTTTACTGAACGGCTCTAATTTAAGTTCTGTATTCTGTGCTTTAAATTAATTGAAGATGTCCCCTGAATATTTCTTGCTTTTATTCACAGAATTCCCTTAATGAAGTTGATCCTGGTGATTGGCAGAAATTTGTGAAGACTGGACTCAAGTGAGTCCGTTTTGGTCTCTCGGGGTGATTGAGTAAGGGCGTGAGTGTGCGACGCCAAGCCTGCATGGTCGCTCGTTAGCCCGGCGTCTGCGGAACATGGGCCGCTCCCGGTTCACGGATGACGGGGTGTGGGGTGCCACAGAGGCTGGACGATTTACCCACTGACATGACGATGACAGAAGCGGCCTTTAAAAAATGAAATATTTTTAAGAAACCAGAGCATGCAGAGAATACGACGGCAGTGCCCCGATCGAATAAGTGCCGGCAGTTTCTTGTGTTTGTCCCGATCTCCCCCCCCCCACCCCCCCCCCCCCAAACATCACTCCCCTGAGGGGCCGGCTTCGTGGTCGCCATGGGTGTTTTCCTACCTTGGTTGCACGCCAGCATGTCTCTAAATAGTAATGACAGTATATTAGTTGGCTTCACTTTCTATACAAATGTATCATCTTATGTGTCTTTTTTTTTTTTTTTGCACTCAAGTGTTTTCGAGTTACCCATGCTGATACACTTAGATCTCAGCCCATTTGTTTTTGCTGCGGGGGTGGGGGGTATGATTCTGTTTTCAGCCCCCACCTCACCCGCTGGTGGACATCTTCCTCCCTCCCTCCCTCCCATGCCTGCAGTGAAGGCTGCACGCCCCTTCGTGCCTCGTGCCAGGTTTTCTCAGGGATGGGCGCTCGCTGGCAGGGAGTGTGGCCACAGCTTCACTTTTACTAGATTTTTAGCTTGCTCTCCAAAGTTTCTGAGCTCACCTAGCACGTCTTTTCCCCACATCCTCACTCGCACTTGATAGGGTCAGACTCTTCAGTTCTCAGCAATCAGGTAGTCATGAAACTGTTTGTCGTCGTGCCTCTAATTTTCACTTCCCTGATTAGTCACCGACTTAAAACAGAAAGATCTTTACTTGGCCCAAGAGAAGAGAAAGATGTGAAGGTGGGTCACAGATCAATGATGGCCTTGGATCGCCATCATGAAGTAGTGACATTTCTTTCAGGCTTCGGTTAATTTGTATTTCTAGAATGCCCATTGTATGCTAAGTGATTCTTAAGGTTAGTCACATATGACTGAAAAGCTGCTTTGTTCCAGAGCAGGATGCTTTCATCCCTTCAGTGGGTTCTGAGGGATTGAAGGCCGAGAAGGCCTCTGAACCCCTGGATAGGAGTTCTCAGTAGCCGGACGCAAGGAAGCGGGCAGGCTGACATGGCAGGGCGGGCTGAGCAGTGAGTGGTATCTTGATTCAGGCTCAGCTGTTCTGCCTCCTGGCACTTTAACCGAACAGGAAGTTCGTTTGGTGTTCGCACCGCAGGAAAATAAATGCATCCCCTCCCTGTTTTCAGAAATGCCCCCTGCCATGGGTGGATGGCTAGGTGTGTGATAAAGCGAGTGTCCTGCAGTGATAGTAGTGGGATCGACATGGGTAGACGGGTATGCACTGTAAAATTTTCATCTTTGTGGTGTGTTAGAAATTTTTCTTAAGAAAATGCCAAGAGAAAGGTTTTTTTGTTGTCTCCTGCAAAATAAAACTCCCCTCTGTGAAGTTCTTTCCCCCTTTGATTCTTGCCTCCTAGATTTCGGTATCAGGACCATGCATTTTTAAAGGCCCTCCATGCTGCCATACAGCGCCTGTATCTTCCTGAAAACTCCATGTGCGCGAAGCTCATCCAGCTCCCAGTGGTCCACATGATGCTCACGCAGCATTCTCTGTTTTTGCCAACTCTACTAAAGTCTGAAGAAGAGGAAAACCTGGACAATCAAGTAAAAGGTGCCCCTCGCTAGCTGCGCACTGAGGTTTAGCACCGATGCGTTTTCAGAGCTAAGGAGGCATTACCAAAATGGCATTGGGATGTTTTGTTTCTGTCAAATCCAAGCCCAGGAAGTGTTTCCTCAGACTTTGGGCCAAGCGGCAGGGGAGAGAGTCTGAAGGGTCCTATCCTCTTGAAGCCACGCTCTGCCTAGAGACAGAATGAACATGCTCAAGCCAGTAGAAATCCCCATGGGGTCGGTCTGTAATCAACTGCCGGATTGGAGACAGCCGTCCCCTGAGTTCCTGGTGTGGGTGGTAGGAAAATCACAAAGGCCCCACCATTTATTTAGGCAGGAGTAGGTATATAGAGACTTTGCTAACATAATCACAGAAGAGAATGCGTAGGTGTTAAAATCTTTGGTGGCTTAAAATGTGGGAGAGGGAGTGAAGAGAGCAATGACAGCCTTGCCAAAGCCAGGGGGAGAGAGACGGTGGTGAAGAAATGCCTCATTTAAAAAAGGAAAAAGAGGGACAAGGCACAGTCCAGAGACTAATACTGTTCAGAGGAGGATATTTCAAGCATTTAAATGTTCCCTGAAATGCTTCCTCCTCTACTTTTATTCTTGTGTGCACAACCGCCTGCACTGCTGTGCATTTCAGTGTCGTTTCCTTCTAGAAGCACTGGTGGATCTGATGTCGGTGGTGGTGAAGATGTGTCCCTCTGTCTGTGAAAGCAGCCACTTTGCCGTGCTCCTTGGGGCCTATGGTGCCACTCTCAGCGTCCTAGGTAAGGGTGTGGGGGCTGGGTGGTATGGCCAGGGGCTGTGAGTGGACCGGGCAGGCGATATGACTGGGGAGCGTGAGGGGACCGGGCTGTGTGACCAGGGAGTGTGAGGGCACCAGGCAGGCAGTGTGACCAGGGAGTGTGAGGGGACCGGGCTGTGTGACCAGGGAGTGTGAGGGCACCAGGCAGGCAGTGTGACCAGGGAGCGTGAGACCAGGTGGTGTGACAGGGTGGAAGGAGCATGTGAGGGGTTCAGCTTTCTAACTGGACCTTGATTTGATTTCTAGACCAGAAGATTTTACTTCTCCTCCGGGCGTATGAACAGAACGACCTCAGCCTCGTGAACTTCAGGTGAGGTTGGGCCTGGCGGTGTGAGCAGCGGTCTTTGAAGGTGCTATCCAGAGATTGAGGGAATATGTTCTGCACAGCAAGCTCCCCAGGTTTTCTCTCATACCTTTTTGATTCTCGGGGAGAGGGTAGGCTGAATGGAGCTCCCCTAGGTCACACACCAGCTCCTGTGGAAGGCTTGGCCTCATGCTCTAAGGATGGTCCATATTCATCCCTGAAGGAGGAGGCCTGAGTTTGGGGCCCACATGGGAACCCTGTGGACATTCAGTGGACAGATCTCACACCACTAAATGGCGCCCACTTGATGGATGTGTCCAGTATGTCAGCTGCTTGCCTGTCCCCCCCCCCGCCCCCCCCCAGGGAACAGCCTCCTAAAGAAGGTAATTTATTTTTGAACTTGAATGACTCCTGCTGATGTGCCCAGAAATGAGTGTGTATTTGGAGTTCAGTTTAGAAGTATTTAATTAAATAGATGTTCATTGAGCGCTTGCTGTTTGACGAGGTGCTGGGCCCAGCGCTGTTGGGAATACCTAGAGGCATAACACCCAGTCTTGCTGTCTGTTAAGGGAATCAGATGATTGCAAATGTAACTCTTTCTAATTGGCCTTTGGTGGTGTAACCCAGCTGTTAGGGGAGCACATGAGAGTACCCTCTCCCAAAGGGGAGGCAGGGAATGCTTCGTGACCAGGTTGGCACTGGAGGGATTTGATGGAGGTGAGGGTCAGTGGAGGAGCCTGGGGACACCACATGGAGGGAACAGTGTCACCAACTCCCAGCTGTTGGAAAAGTCCATTTCTGAGAATGGTGAGCAGGTCAGCTTATGTGCATCACAAGATATGTGTAGGGAAAAGGTGGTGGGAAGGCCAGATAGACTGGTTGGTAAGGATTTTAGGTGTCAGACTGGAATATTAATCATTTCCATCTAGGAGACAGGGAGCTGACAGACGTTTTGGGGCAGAGAAGGAGTCCCCCTCAGAGCCCGGCTCTCAGGGAGCACCCTCCACTAGTGGGGAGGTGGGTGGGAGGTAGTGGGGAGAAAAGTAGGAGGAAGGGGAGGCTTGGGGCGGCTTCACTGGGTGTTGGTGGCGCATAACAGAGGCGTTGACATGGTAGACTCGAGGCAGGGACAGTCAGAAGGCTGTTGCGGCAGAGCTGCTGTGCTCATGGCCGCCTGTGAACCGGAAGGAAGCATCACCGAGCAGCCAGGATTCTCCTGCTGTGGCGCAGCGACTGGCCTATGGAGCCAGACCTCCCAGTTTTACATTCCAGCTCTGCCACTTACCGGCTGGGCAAGTGACCAGCTGAGCAACTTTCTTAACCCTCCCTGTGCCTCGTCCCCCATTCGTAAAATGGGGATAATAATAGTACCTACGTGACAGGGTTGGTACACGGATACAAAATACAGATAACGGTGAATTAGTAGACGTGAAGGGCTTAAAAGTAAGTGGCACATCGGAAGCTCCAAGTAGGTGTCATCATCCCCCCACACTGTCACCCACCCTCGTCACTGCTAGCATCTCTGCCAGCGCCCCCTCCCCCTTTGTTAGGATGGGGACCAAATGATAGAACACCTGTCACGTGCTCCAGACAGCGGCTGGCGAGTGCTGGCTGCTCGGCCACGCTGCCTGTGACGGTCATTGTCCCCCGTCATGCACTCTGTTCCGGTGGGGCCCAGTGACCTGTCTGCTCTCCCCCATCCGGCTCTAGAGTGCTGCTGTGGGGCCCGGCGGCGGTGGAGCATCACAAGACATGCCGGAGCCTGGGCAAGTCGCTGTGGCAACAGCCGAGTGTCGGGGACGTCCTCCGCCTGCTGGATCGGGACCGCATGATGAAGACCATCCTTCACTTCCCGCAGAACCGGAGGCTGCTGCCCCCCGAGGTGCGGGGGCCCAGGGGAGCCACTAGGGAGCACTCCCAGCAGCAGTGCGTGCTCTGCTCGACCCTCAGAGGATTCTGTTGGCAGCCTCAACTAGAGCATACTGCAAAACACAAGCGCTGTTTTTCTTGCGGTTTGTTAACATCTTGTTAAGTACAATTCCAACTACATATGGAGGTAGCAAGACAGGGCCCCCCACACCTGTCACTCAGCTGCAGCAATTATCAACACCAGCCGTGCTTGTTTCTTTCATAACCCCCCCTCCCCAAAAAAGACTAGTTTGAAGCAGATCCCAAAGATCTCCATTTCATGTTAGAAGTGCTGTTTTCTTATGCTTTTGAATATTCAAAATCATTGGAACCCTATAGATTAGTGGCTAAGCACTCACATGTTACCACATTTATGTGGCCAGACCACACATTTCTGTTTGTTTCGGGCTTTTTCAGGATGCACAGGAACTGATCTTTAAAGACCGGCGCACAGTGGATCTCGATGGCCTTTATGACCCCTGCTTTCTCCTGCATCTCTTCAGTGAACTGACCAGGCCAGGTAACCGCAGCCTTCTGTGGGGCGGGGCTCAGGGCCCGGATGCAGTCAGCTTTCTTGTGGGAATTACCACCATGATAACGGAAGGCTTGTTTCTTATTCTAAAAATCTTCATCCACCTTCCCACCTTTTTATTTCAGTGATTTTTCAGAAGAGTAACAGTGAATGTTTTGAATATACAGTGATTAAAAAAAAAATTATAATTTTAAAATCTGGGAGTGTCCCTTCATCCTTGATGTTTTCCTAATTCTCAATGGCAAGAGCCTTTTCTGAATTCCCATTAGATAGTGATCAAATGCCACCAGATTTTATCCTTGAAAACGAGGGAGAGCCTGCCGAGGTTGACTTTTTGTTGGGTTAAGTGTAATTTTGAGTTTAAGTGTCGAATAGCCAGAGGGTGGGCGTGTTTGTGAGTTGTGAGAATGTAGGGCGGAGACCGAACACAAGCACGCACACGTACGCACTGTTGAGGACTGATGGCCGATTCCCACGGCGAGTCTGTTGCGGCAGTTCTGTTGGATTGTGGCATTGTGTCAGCGGTAGGCGTGTCATATCTCATGTGGTTTTCATTTGCGTTTTCCTGATGGCTAATGTCGTCGAATGTCTTGAGGTTCATTTGCCATCTGTGTGTCCTCTTCATTGAAATGTCAGGCATGTCTTTTGCCCATTTTCTAACGGGATTTTTTTTTTTTTCACTGTTGAGTTTGGAGGGGTCTTTATATAGTCTAGATGCTCATCCTTTGTTGGATATGCGGTTTGCAAATATTTTCTCCCAGTCTGTGGCTTATCTTGTCATCCTGGTGACAGAGTCTTTCACAGGGCCTGAGTTTTTCATTTTGAGCAAGTCCAGCCGGTCACTTCTCCCTTCTGTGGCTCACACCCGTACTGATACTCTTGGCTGGGAGAGGCAGGAGTGGCCCATGACTGCTCCTCACGGGGCCTCCCCTGATGAGGAGGCCTCCTCTGATCTCAGGAGCAGGAGAGGCCTCTGGTTCCTGCCCGCCACCCCCCTCTCGGCCTTGTCTGGTGGACGCCACCGCAGCAGGGGACTTGGGTTCCACAGCAGGCTCCACACCGCGCCTTGGCTGGGGTGGGTCGGAGCAGGGCCGTGGCTTTCTCTGAGGGGTTCGGCTGGAGCGGAGCAGTTACTGTCCACATTTTCTGTCTTACTAAGCTGCTCCTTTTCTAGTCTTTCATCTAGAGACTAGAGAGAGCAAGGCTTTTGTTCAGGCTTTGTCTGTGCCTCTTGGTTTTCTGGGCCGCTGCCTTCTTCAGCTCAGAGTCTAGGACACCAGGAGCAGAAAGAAAACGCAGGGAACTGCCCTGAGGCCCCCCCGGCTGGTCAGCTTCCTTTCTGCCTTTCAGAGTCTTCTTACACCTGTCCGGGATTTTTCAGTTGTGTTTACTAGTAGACGTAGAGAAAATATGTCGACTCCATCTTCCTAGAATTAAACATCTAATTTAAGTGTTTAACATTAGATGATGATATATTCACAGTTCAAAATTCAGGTGGTACCAGAGAGTGTGCGGTGAAACTGACTGTCGTTTCCTCCTGGCGGGGACCTGTGTTAGCTGTTCCTCACAAGTGCTCCTGGGCCCGGCTTGCTCCTTCATGGCCTGTCATGGCTCTGGTCAGGCCTACATGGAAGGCACCGGGGGCAGGTGTGGGGGGTGGGGGGAGGCGCATGTTCTGCAGCTCTGGCCTTTGGTGTGGCCAGCATGCTGCCTGCAGGACCCCCAGGCTCCTTCCTACTGGACTTAACGGCCGCATGGATTTAGGTGCACTGGGAGACCGTGTCTCCTTTTTCGTGCTGTTTTGTCCCCTTTTCAACTTAGAGTTGTCCTTTTATGCTCCAGTGCTCCTGCGTGCAAACAGACTTGCTGACCCTCCACCACTGCCTCTCTTAACAAGATGACAGGGCCGGTCTCAGAGGTTTCTCACTGGTGGCCCCTGAGGTTGCTGGGGCTCCCCGGCCTCCGTGACCTTGGTGTTCTGTGGCCGAGCTAGATTTCATTTGCCAGAGAGCAGGGGCATTTCATACCAGCGTCCGATCACTGCAACGGCAGGCAGAGATCTTCACTGACCCCTAACAGGGGACTTCCCAGTAGCCTAACAGAGACACAGGGACTGTGTGCGGCCCGGACGCTCTCCTCCTTCCCCCTGCCTTCAGCCCTGGCGAGGTCTGTTTCTCATCAAACACGAAAATAGATTTTCCATAGTCTGAAAATATGAGGTAACTTGAGGGGATTATAACAAATCATTTAGTCCGTTGCTCAGGCTCTTAAGAGAGCTTTTAAGAGACAGAAGGCAAAGGCTTGGAAAACACTAATAAAAAAAATACTAAAATTAGGACACAGTGTTGTTCTCAGGATCTTGAATGCTGCCGTTTTTGGATGGGGAGGACAGTGGGAGGCCTTCTCTGAAGAGAGGTAACTCGTAAATGGTCTTTTAGTAGGGAAGTCTCCAAATACAGCCTATTTTAAGTTTTATAGGCATGGTACGTGTAGGAAAATTTGCAAAACCTGTGTACCCCTAAAAAGGATTTGTGGTGGCTTAAAATACAAATTACAGTAAAATCTTTCATGGTAAAGTTAGACAATTTTAAAAAGCAGAGAGGTGGATAAAGATATAAATACAAAAATTAAAAGAAAAGAAGCAGACAAGAAAAACTAGGTCATTAAATTTTGCTCGGGTATACTTGTCATCCAGAACAAAAAGTGGAAGCATCATGTTTTAAATAAATTTTGTTGTCTGATAAAAGGAAGCAAAGCAGTTTGTAGGGAGAGGGAAATTTCTAGCAGTAAAATGGTAAGTTGAACAGAACAGAAATCTGTGAACAGCATATGGCCAGTGTAGGCTAGGTTTATTGTTGTGGAATTAAATCATGAATTTATTTTTCATATTATTTTTAACATGTATTTTTCCTTTTGATTCTGCCCTTGGTGGGAAAGTAAGCATGAAGAATGTCTTAAGTGAATTTTTACTGAAGCGTGGTAAATAGAAATGACCACACATCATATGTGTGTGGTGGGAGTTTTGGTGAAAGCACCAGCTGGATCGAGGAGCAGCACGTAATGGGCGGCTCTGCAGGCCCCTTCCTAGGCAGTGCCCCTTCCTGCCCAGCAGGAGCCAGGGCCCTGTATTTGAACTTGATGTGAATGGTACCATGCCGTATGTGTCCTTTCGTCTCAGCTCCATGTACCCCACGTTGTGTTTGTGAGGTTCCTTCGTCCTGTGTGTGGAGCAGAGGTTCTCGACAGTGTTCTTACTCCCTGCAGTGGCCCCCAGGCCCCTGTGTTGCTAACATCTTGCAGTCCTAAATTGGGCAGGGCGCCTGGGTGGCTCAGTCGTTGGGCGTCTGCCTTCGGCTCACGTCATGATCCCAGGGTCCTGGGATCGAGCCCCGCATCGGGCTCCCTGCTCGGCGGGAAGCCTGCTTCTCCCTCTCCCACTCCCCCTGCTGGTGTTCCTGCTCTCGCTCGCTCTCTCTGTCACATTAATAAATAAAATCTTTAAAAAAAAAAATCCTAAATTGGGCAGATGATTAGTTTTTAAGTGTGGCTGCCAGACTTCAGAGAAACTCTAGTCTCACTGCTCCATTTCAGCCTTCGCGGAACATGGGAGCCTATTTTCCTAACCTCACTGCTTCCCTACTCTGAGTCCTGGGCTGAGAAACAGGATCTTAGCCGTGGCAGTGACAAATGCTTTTTCCACAGCGAATTCTTGTCCTCCGCAGAACTGGGCGGCTCTCTTCAGCTCACCTCTCACAAACATCGCAGAACAGAGAGGCCAGCATGCAGTTCTGTGAGCCTCGTCCCCAGACCACGGAGACACGGGCCCCGCGGACTCCTCAGTCGTCCCCTGCCAGGCTGCCCCCAAGGAAGGGGTAGAGGAGGAGGCATGAAGAGGAGCTCCTGGGGCTCTGGGGCACAGTTGTACTCCCACTGAAGCCCATAAGACATGGGGTGCTTTTTATTTTAATCCTTGATCACTGTGCTGGTTCAGATGTGTTATCAGAAGGCCAAGTTGCGATTTACGAGGTTCCCGAAACAGAGTCGTGTTTATAACTATGTTTTGATAGCCTCTTACACTTTCCGCACCCCAAGGCAGCGCTTTTCCTGCAGGGTGACACAGCAAAGACTTCAGAGAGTAGTAGATGACCACAGACATGAAATGGACTTTTCCTCAGGGACACGTGGAAAATCCATTTGTCTTAGAGAATGTCAGTGATTACTAAAAATACCCTAGCCAGCTGAGTACTAGCTGTTTTTAAAGCGAGTGTAATATTAAAT